GCAGAAGGCCATTAAGGGCTGTGATGTCTGGGGTCAAGTTGAAATGGTTCTTGCGATTTAAGTAATTGAACCTTTCATTCAGGTTTCAAGCAGCTGGATTGCCCTCCAAAATGCTGTAGAGGGAAGTGAAGCTTGTGGCCTTGTGCAGTGCCAGCCAGAAAGTGCCTGGGGAAGCCTTCTGGGTGGTGATAGTCCCTTGTGGGAATGACTCTTTGGCTCCTCTCAGAAACTGTGAGCCAGTTGTAGTCAGGTCTTCCCAGTGCCCAGGCCTCTTCTTTAATCACTAGGCCAAGCTCTCCACGCTTCCCCAGCCTGATGAATGAATGCAACTGTTTGAGCTCCATGGTAACCCTGTGCAAGATCACAGCCTTCCCCTCTGAAGGAGGTGGAGGGAGATTCATGTGTTCAGGACTCTCGTCTCCATGGTGAGGAGGAAGAGGGTGGGGGAAGGCCCAGTTTCTGAGACCTTTGCATCATGCAGTGAGCACTGGCTCTAGGGAAATTGTTGGCTTATGGGCCTGTACTGGTCTAGAGTCTTTGAGCTTCTCTGCCTTGTGTGGTCAGTCGGTAGTAATAAGTCCAATATTTTTCTCTCTTCCCTCCCCCCCCCCCCAGCAGAAACGCAGAGTCTTTTACATGACAGGACTGATCAGAGATCGAGGCATCCCCTCCTCTGCTCTGGTTCGTCCAGTGTGCACAAGATGGCAGTCCCTCCCCCAGTGACCTTTGGTGCTTGCTTGCAGACAAATCAGCATCAGATCTTGTGTTTGTATGGTGATACTGAATGAGAGTTGGCAAATGCAAAGGATTTTTCTTAGCACTTTATTTTATTATCCATTGAAATAATTTTAAACCAACTCTTTCAAAAATATAGTGCTGATACACAAAAAGCATACAAACAATACAAATGCACCAAATCCATTTGTGAAAATAGCAGAAACTGATTTGGGAAAAACTATGTCTGGTCCATAGTCTATACTGTGTCATTGACTCCTGTTCTTTACAAGAGGAATTGGGTTCAGTTGGGGGCAAACAGCCTTTGGCAGTACTCTCTCTCTCTCTCTCTCTCTCTCTCTCTCTCTCTCTCTCTCTCTTCCTCTCTCTGAAAAACATTTTATTGATTTTCCAAATATAACAAAATGAAGAAAAACCACACAAAAAATCATAACCAAATTAAAACATAATTTTTTCATCAACTTCCCTACACTCCCCCTCTTGATTCCATTATAATATACTTGTTCATGCATGTCCATAAAACCTTATATACTTAACAATCTAGTTTTAAAATCATCTTCGTCCTATTACAAGTGACTTTTAAAAGTTATACTAATGTAAGAATCTATGCACAAAGCTTAAAAAATATGCATTGAACAGTTGCCCTTTTTTTAATTTGTCCTGCAAAATTCAGTACGGTAATTTATTTTGCCAATCTTCTTTATCTTCTTTGGCCAAGTCTTCTTCCTTCCATAGGGGCTGGCTGATCTTGGCCTGGCATCCAATCTCGCATATCGGAACAAAGTCTTTCACTCAAACAATCCATCAAGTCCTATACATCTCAATATCATAACTTCAGTTTTTTTAACAACAATCATTTTCCGATTTTCCTCAGGTCTACCTTTGGCAGTACTTTTGACAGGCTTTGTCACTGGCACTTTGTCCCTACCATCTGTGATCTAGTTCCTTTTGGGAAAAGGGTGCTTGAGAGCCATTACTGCTCTTGGGCTCCCTTTTACTTGCTCTGGGATTACACTGGGAATGCTGTTTGGAAAGAATGAAAGCTGTTTCCTTTGAATGTGTCTAGGTTGCCACATTGTTCCCAGGTTCATTCTATAGAGGAAGGCTGTCTGAGTGGTGGTCTGGTTCCTGCACAAACTTGCACAGATGAATGGTGCAATTCCAGCCTGTTTTCAGCAGGAATTGACTCTACTGGGGAGGTCCCAGACAGCATCAATTCCAGCAGCTGGGCTTACATTTGGTGCCAAATTTCAAAGGTGCTGAATACAAGTTCTGCTTTCCCAGGAGCAACTGGGAGCATATTTTATGGCTCCTTACGGTTCCTTTGCAGCTGCTTCTTTAACTCTCCCACACTTGATGATATATATTATCATTATATATTATTTATTAAATTTGGTAGTCACTTTTTGTCCCTGCAACTCAAAGCAATTTACAATATTTTAAGCAAAAAAAAACCACACACACACACACAAGAGAGAGAGAGAGAGAGAGATATTAACTCCCTGTCCTAATCTTCTAGTCCCCAGATATTAAGGGGTGGTCCTTGCTGTCCCCTGGACATTACTTCTCCCCAAGGGGGCAACTTCTTGGTGTTGTCTAATGATGAAGATGATGATAATAATAATGATTTATTTATACACCACCCATCTGACTGGGTTGCCCCAGCCACTCTGGGCGTCTTCCAAAAAAGTAAAAATATTAGGCATAGTAAAGCATCAAACATTAAAAACTTCCCTATACAGGGCTGCCTTCTTCTAAAAGTCATATAGTTGGTTATTTCCTTTACATCTGTTGGGAGGGCATTCCACAAGGCTGGCATGACTACTGAGAAGGCCTTCTGTCTGGTTCACTGTAACCTCACTTCTCACAATGAGGAAACTGCCAGAAGGCCCTTGGAGCTGGATCTCAGTGTCCTGGCTGAACAATGGAGGTGGAGATGCTCCTTCAGGTATACTGGGCTGAAGCCATTTAGGGCTTTAAAAATCAGCACCAACACTTTTAATTATGCTCAGAAACGTACTGGGACCGGTGTTATACGGCCTTGCCTGCCACTCCCAGTCTAGCTGCCGCATTCTGGATTAGCTGTAGTTTCTGAGTCACCTTCAATGGAAGGCCCGTGTAGAGTGCATTGCAGTAGTCCAAGCAGGAGATAACCAGAGCATGTACCACCCTGGTGAGATAATGCGCAGGCAGGTAGGGTCTCAGCTGGCATACCAGCCCAGTAACTGATTTAACCTCAACTCCCCTGGCAGTTGAGCCCAGGTGGGCTCTCAGTCAGTCAACAAGGCTCTGCTGATCACAGATGGAAAAATGACAGGAGCAAGGGGTGAGCTGTGGAACAAGGCCAGTTGATGTCAAGTATGTGGTAGGTGGGTGTGGCTTGGAGAAAACATCTTTTTGGGTCAAATTAGAACCTCATTCCAGTTCTCATTATGCCTACAAGTTTGTGGTTCGCCAGCACTGGATCAAAAATTCTGGTCCTTTTTCCCTTATGGGTTGGCAGTCTTTTAAGTCAAGAAGATGCCTTGTAGTTTCACACAGTCTTCCTTGATGCAGTTCTGCTGGAAGCACTTGGCATTCGCCACCTTCTCCATGGTTTCTAGCATTATCCTGAACTTACTGCCATACAGCTGCATTCAAACTGTATAGCATTTATACCTAAAGCCACCACTTGGACATTTTGATGTGACACTTATTTCCAGTAGGCTTCAAGGGCTCTTCAATTTCATTGTAAGGAAGGGTTTATCACTTCTTTGACATGGTAGAGGACTCCAAAATTGAGGGGTTGTGCTTGAGTAAATAAATCCATTTCCAAAAGCAAAGTTCAATGAAAAAAAGGTAAATAAATAGCAAAGGCTCCCCACGACTGCTCCTCTTCTTCCTAGCCTGCCCTGTGGTGAGAGGAGTTATATTAAATGTCCTCAAGACCTCAGATTAGCCTCCTTGCAGCCAGGAGTTTATTTGCAGCTTTGGGTGTGTTGTGTGGAATAGTGGGTAAAGAGTACATCTCTTTGGCAAAAGCGGCATTACAGTAGCTGGAGGAGCTATGTAATTTTCAGCTGCTACTCTATGCCTGATGTTTTGGGCTGGCCCAGAGTGAACTTATGCACCCAAGACACTAAGCTGTTCTCTTCTTTAATTGTTTAAGGTTAGTAATATCAATATCACACCATTTGATTACTATGTAAAAAAGGTAAAGGTACCCCTGCCCATACGGGCCAGTCTTGACAGACTCTAGGGTTGTGCGCCCATCTCACTCTAGAGGCCGGGGGCCAGCGCTGTCCGCAGACACTTCCAGGTCACGTGGCCAGCGTGACAAGCTGCATCTGGCGAGCCAGCGCAGCACACGGAACGCCATTTACCTTCCCGCTAGTAAGCGGTCCCTATTTATCTACTTGCACCCAGGGGTGCTTTCGAACTGCTAGGTTGGCAGGCGCTGGGACCGAGCAACGGGAGCGCACCCCGCCGCAGGGATTCGAACCGCCAACCTTTCGATCGGCAAGTCCTAGGCGCTGAGGCTTTAACCCACAGCGCCACCCGCGTCCCAATTACTATGTATTAGTATGTATTTTATTAAGGAGTGTTGTTATTGCTTGTTTACATGGAAATACTTACACTGTGTGCTGGCTCAATGAGATGCAAAAGGGGGCTGTAAAAGGACTTTGGGCTTGGAGTAAGAAGAGAGAATTTGCAGTTTTCTTTTCTCTCTCAACATCTTGACCTTGTAGTCCCTTTCAGCTCTATGATTCTATGATTATTATTCTATGACATGAATACCTCTTAAGTCATTTTCATGCAGAAGCTGGAAATCAGCGCTTTGTTGGATGTCATAGTGGTGAAGGAGTTGGAACTTCCCTCATGAACTAGAGGTTGGGAATTTGATTCTGCGCAGTGAAATAGTTGCAAGACTGGATGTTGACAACTCGCAAGACAGGATCCACTCTACATTTCCGTTAGCTGCTTTAGAACAGTAAAACTGGAGGACTTAATATGCTGTCTTCAGGGAATTGCTGTAGCTCAGTGGCGATAATCTTTTCCATGTGGAAGGTCCCAAGTTCAATCCCTGACATCCCCAGGTAGGGTAGGAGAGAGCCATTGCTAGTCAGTGCTGAGCTAGATGCACCAATGGTTTGACATAAGGCAACTTCCTATGTTCTGTGTTCAAGACCAGATCATTTGCCCATCTTGCCCTGTACTGTCTGCCTTGAATTTCCAAGGTGTTGGACAGAAAATAGTCTTTAATATCTCTTGTCACCTGTTTCTAAGATAGGGATTGAATCCAGGGCCGTCTGCATGCAAAGATGATGTTCTACCACTGAGTGGTGGTCCCTCCTTGGGATGAGGTCCTGAGCCAGTACAACATGCCAGGTGAGTTTGAAGGGGTGGTGGTTGCTGCCTGGGGCAAGAGGGGTGAGGCCTGTGTAGCACAACAAACATGGGAAGGGATTTGAACAGGAGTTGGTGAGCTCTTAATCATATTGCTGGTAGTTTGTCGTCTTTGCAACAAATATACCTGCTATTAGAGGCTTAGTCTGGAGCTCCAATTGGGCAGCTGAGGCAAAGCATTGGGTTCCTGCCTGCTTTTTCTTCAAACAATATCTTCTGGCTTCCAGATTTCTGATAAATTGATAAGAGGAATTGCGGGAGTCAATAGAGTTGTAGACACTTTGCCAATATAACCGTAGTGCTATTGATCTGCCAGTAAATTAAAGTCTTACTTAGAGGCTGCCGATATTTCTAATCTCCTGCCTCGCCAATTACAACCTTCCAGCTACCTGAGAGAGACAGAGCAGGCAGGCAGGCCCAGCTGTTGGGTCCTGTTTAGTCTGGGGAGCTGCCAGGATACAAGAAAATTCATTGGCGTATGAGAGGCTGTGGCTGTCTTCCCATTCTACACTCCCCCCTCAAAGCATTTTAGTCAAGGAGAGACCTTTCCCATGTCCTCAAAAGGTCAAGGAGTGAGGTGACAAAAGGTCTTTTAAGTACACAACAATTTTGTTTATTTTTGCCAGTAGTTGGAATGCTGTGTTTGGTGAATCCTTGGTAATTTGTGTAAAAGGTGTTTATGGGAACAAGCACTACTGTAGTTTTGGTGGCAGATAGCATTGCTGTGACTCACCAGAAAGAGGATTCTGTGGCCACAGATGTTGAAGAGCCATTGCTGGTCAAGGAGTAGGTAGCATCAGTCACCACTTTGGGTAGTCAGTCGCCTTTTCTTCCTGTTTGCTTCACACACAGGGGAAATCCCAAACTTGCTCTTCTGGGTGTATATAATTTGAGGGGGAAATCTCTACCATTCATTTTCCTGACAAAATGTTTCTATTCCTAGATAATATAGAATGTGTTAAGCATCAGAATTCTTTAGAGATCTTAAATATAGCCAGTCTCCATTCTTTTGCTGGGCAGCATCAAGTATGGGGTTTAGCAGAGTGTTATGATGTGCAGAGGCAAAAGGCCGTGTTGGGAGCACAGGGGGGCTGCCCCCTTTCTGTAGTTCTAGCCTACCCTCCCCCCTCTCCCACCCTGTTTCTGCTTGTTTGAAGCTGGACAAGCAGCTGAGTTGCTTTCAGAGGTCCAAGAAAGAACAATGGGATCGTGGAGCTCCCTGCTGGGGGTCCTGTTTTGAGTGATGATGGTCTGAGCAGATTGTTCACCTGATAAGCTCCTTTCAAGTCTCTTTATGTTTGAAAGTCCACAGTCGGCTTTGGGAAGAAATCTCCAGATAAATGCTGTGTTCTTTCTAATACCCCAGAGCAAAAATCAATTGGAGGGATAATTCCTCCCCTTGTCCTACACAGACTTTCATGTGTATATATCTCCAGCAGCACCTTCACATATGGAAAAGACTTCTCATATTGCCCTTGGATAAAAGCTTCTGCACTGATTGTGCAATGTGTGCCCTCTGGAGGATAGGTGTATTTTCCCAGGCAGAGTTTGGCTCCTGTGTTTTCCTGTTGAATTTGGGTACAAGCAGGGAGAGGAAGCTGAGAGCTACCCAACTGAGCCAGCTATAGGTTGTTTTAGCAGCAGATAGAACTAAATGATAAATCCCCTCAACCTCACATTGAAAGGAGGTGATAAAAATAAAAAACCTGCTCCTTTTCCCTTATGGAGTACCCAAGAGCCCATATAGAGTCCTTTTGTAGGTTCTGTATCAGTAGGAGAAAATGACAGAGACAAATCAGAGAATATTGAGAAGCAAAGCAGCTAGTAAGCCTGATCTTTATTAACTGCTGCAACAGGGTGCTCCCCCACACGCAGGAGAGAGGAGGAGGACCCCCAAACCATGCGCGCAAGCCCTTATATAGACATTTTAAATTGCCCGCCCGGGAGTTGCAAGACCACCCCCAGAAACATACATTACAGAAGGGGTGTAATCCAAGACCACCCCCCAGATACATCATACCTACATCACAGAAAAGGCTGTCTACAACAGAAATCTGAGTGTGTTGTTTTTACCCTGTCTGCCAGGTTACCTGTTAATGGTCACTTGACTGGATTACCTGGGGAACCTGGCCATTCTTTTGTAATGAAAATACTTACCGTAATTCCTGAGCCAGGTCACAGGCTCACCCTATTCACACCTTAAATGTGCCCTTAAGGCAGGATTTGTGAGGACACAGACAATGGGGAGGTTTCTGCATTTCCTTCCACCTTCTAGAGCATGGATAGGCAAACTAAGGCCCAGGGGCCAGATCCGACCCAATCGCTTTCTAAATCCGGCCCATGGGCAGTCTGGGAATCAGCGTGTTTTTACATGAGTAGAATGTGTGCTTTTTTAAAAAATGCATTTGTGATTTATTTGTGGGGCATAGGAATTTGTTCTTATTTTTTCTTTCCAAAATATAGTCTGGCCCCCCACAAGGTCTGAGGGACAGTAGACTGGTCCCCTGCTGAAAAAGTTTGCTGACCCCTGTTGTAGAGAAATATTTGAGGTGACTGAAAGAGTCACAATGGCTTTAGGATTTTTACTGTGGGTTTTAGACATGTGGTTTATATATTTATATATGTGTTTGCTTGGTACATTTATGAACGTGTTATATATATATATATATATATATATATATATATATATGACCTAAAAATTCTTATAACAGGAAAGATACTAATATCTGCAACTTGGAAGAGTAAGTCTTGGTGACTGTCCGAAGAGTGGGTGGCCTGCATTATACATTGGCTGTTTCTGTCCTTTATGTGAGTTGCTTTGAACACCTCTGTTTGTGGGAAAATTTGAAAATTCAGATATTCACCCATACTACATGCACAATAGAAAGGTGATGTGAGCATTGGATTGTGTGAAATCAGAGTATGTTAATCCCATTGTTCTGAACAATGACCCAGTGCCCATTCTGGAGTTCAGACCACCTTTCTCACTCTTAACTAATTCAGTGATCTCCAGGTTAACTGGAACTGCTTGCTTCTGATCAACTATATTAAGCTAAACAGACACAGTGTGGCAAGATGCCTTTTTTCTGTAAGTAAATCACAATTATACGCACCAGAGCAAAGCTGTTCAGACAGTGTCCTAACAGCTACCATTTCCCCCAAGGCATGCTGGATAAAGATCCCTCTAGTTGAGGAAGCATTTTGGGCATTGGTGGTTCACAACACTGGTGAAAATTCCAGCAGCATCACCACCCTTGTCACTTCTGCAGAATCCAATCACTTTTACATTTAACCCCCTGATAGCTCAGTTAAAGGATTGGAATCCATGTGAAAGGGGTGTATGTATCCATTATTTCAATTAGCAGAGCATGATTTGTGTTATGTGATTCATGTATAAATTTATTTTATTCATACCAATTGTGTGTCAGCCTAGAGGTGCTCAGCATGGAGCATTTCACTGTAGCCAGTCTGTAAATGCTTACTTTTCTGGAGAGTTGGTGTTACAACTGGTGGGGTGTGTGTTTATGTCTGTTTCTTATTTTTATTTAGGAGCACAACTAGATAAACATTTTTTTCCCCAGCAAGGAGGATCTTTTTGCAGGAATTGGATGAAGTTGATAAACTATTCTCAGCCCTAGCCAAAGCCCATTACCCATGATACAAGGAACAAGTTGGAGAGCTCCAGGCAGCACTAAGCGTTTGTAGTTCTTATCTGTCCCTTAAATGGCTTTGCAGTATTTATCTAGTCTGCAGTGTCTGAGCAAACAGAATTCTGTGGGTGAAGGGGAGCTTTAGAACCTTTTGTTCCCAGGTTCTTCACAGTTAGGGTGTTCTTTCTCCCTACTGCACAGTATATTTGAGCCTAAACTCATCCTCTTGCCACTTGCCACTGTATTCTCAGTTGCTGTGTTGGAGCCATTTTGCTGACTCATTGGTTTGGACTGAGATTTGTCCCACTTTCATTACTCACCATGGCATCTGTGTTCAATCCCTGTGAAAGTTCTCCTGTCTTCTCTGCAGCCTCCTGAGTCACTTCATTTTTCTGTAGCTTCCACTGTTCTTCAGACATCTTTGCCTGCTCAGTTAGCAGTGTTAAAAATGGGGGGAAATGGAGTTGGGATAGCATTTGGAGGAGCAGCCGTAACTGTTTCTGGCTGAGTATGCTGACTTTGAAATTAGCCTTGATTTGTGATTGAGCTCAACCTGAATACATTGCTACGACTCAGTGCAGGACAGGATGGCGGCCTTGACAGCAGGGAGGGGAAAGTGAGTGCACAAGCAAGCAGTCTCCACTTCTGTTGGCATAACCTGTGAAATATTGCCTCTTGTGGCTGTATCTTGCACTCTTGCTGAGCATGATGCCCAGTAGTGTATTAAACACTAGTTGAGTCCAGGAGGGCAGCTGATCACCCACGAGAGATAAGCCAAGTTCTCTGATGGCGGATCAATAAAGGTTAGTGACATCATATCTCAAAGTGAGAGAACCTGCTTTCCACAGAGCCGTTTATCAGATGACAGCCTGAAACACTGTTAACATTTTCCTTGCCAGGGACCTGCTTCCCACTAGAACTGGCCTCTATGATTACTCTGGGCCTTGTCGCTTTACACCTTTGCCTCAACTATCCTCATGTCTGTCCTCTTGTGGGTCTGTCATGTGAGGAAAGCATGTTGTGCTTACCTGCTGTGTTCCTGCATAGACTGAGGTGTCCATTGGGCTTTGCTAAGGATTTGTTTCAATAGGTTTGGAAAAGAGCATTTTAGCAAAAAGCAGACAGAATTCCTATTGAGGCATTCTCATCATTCCACTGGCAGCACAGTGAAAGAGACTGAAGCAGGCTGAGTAGGTCACAGTGACTAAAGTTTCCTCGAGTCAGCCATTCAGATTGGAAGTGCCCACATCGCCAGATATCTTCATGTTGATTGGCTTGTGAGCTGGACACAGGATTTTGCAGGACAAGACAGGCCTTTATCATAGGAGGGGT